CCTGCCGCAGAGGGCCTCCCCCACCATCCGCTGCTCCAGCGTCTCCTAAGGGAGCGGCTCCCGGCCGCGCCGGCGGGGACGAGGACTCTGCAAAAACGGAATTGGTTTCACCCTTAGCAAAACGCGAAATAAATTCCCAGTTACTGGAGTGATGATGAGGAAAAAAAGAAAATCTGCTGAAAAAAAAATGGGGTTTCTTTGTTTTGTTTTGATTTTTTGTTGTTTTTTTTTTAAAGTAAATGCCCGTTGAAGCCACTTCACTGAAACTGGTAGCACTTTGGTTACGATGCTGGGGGCTGTCAGACCCGGCCGCCAAGGTCCATCGTGGTGAGACAGGGATCGGAGCCCACGAGGGAGCGGCTCCGAGCGCGGGAGCCGTCGGCCCCGGAGAGCTCCGCTCCCGCGGCCCCTCCGAGCAGGCGGATACGTCGGGACGACTCTGCGCGTGCAGCAGCCTCCATCCTCCCCGGGACTGCAGCAGCTTCGGGGGAGAAAGGAAGCGTTTAAAGCACCCACAAAACCCCCTTCCCACCAGCGACGTTCCCAGGAGGAACCGGCCTCCCAGGCCGGACAGCAGGGAGGTGGCAGAGATCCGGGATGCAGCCGGGCTCCCATCGGAGCACGGCCACAGCGGAGGCTGCTCCTGGTCTTGGACGCGGTGCCGCGGGGAGCTCGAGCTGCAGCATCGACCCTCCGTTCCTTGCAGCCTGCTGCTGTAACCACAGCGTTTTGCAGCCTGGTTTTCTCAATGTGCCGAACGGTTTTTCCCATTTCTACATCCTGGGGGCTCCGTGGATGCAGCGTCTGCTCCGCTGACCCGGCCCGCGCGGCGTCCCGGGAAGCGCCGCCGGGCAGATGGTCCCACGCGGTCACACACGACCGTCATGAACCAGGACATCTCGGAGACGAAACCTCTTGGAAAACTTATCTGAGCTGATTAAAATACTCCGAGATGTGTTTTTGCCTGGAGAAATTGGGAGAGTGTATTTACATGTATTATAAAATGTTCATTTTAAATATACATGCTCCAGACTGTTAATTTTTTTTTTCCCTGCAGCAACTGTCATGACAAACAACCTCCACAACTGGAAAAAAAAAAAAAAAGAGAACACCCGAGCACTTGTTTTTATGGTTCAAATTTGCCAAATAAGTCTCCTAGCTTTGTCAGTGCTATCCGATTATCTGCTTCTTTATATGTGTTAAACGTCGTGTGCGTTTGTGCCAAAACAGGAGAAGGGGAAGGGGAGAAAATGCTGATCAGAATTTCCTATGGAAATCTGCCTTGTTTTTAACGCAAAGGACAGGCACCCGAGCGGGGCCCGGCGAGGCCTTCCCGGCGCTCCGCTCCCTGCGGCAGGAGCCCGGCGCACACGGAGACGCCGGAACGTTTTGTGGATGACGCTTTGTCCGAGGAACCCCCGTGCCCAGGAGGACTCTGGCCATGGCGCTCCCGGGCGGCCGGCGCTTCTGGATACCTTCCCGCAGGATCGTCCTTGGAGCTCCGCGGGGCAGCGAGGCTGGTATCGCAGCACGGGAGGTTTCCTGGGATTGGCTTCGGTTTGGCAAAGCATCTGGTTTCAAGTGCATCTCCCATGGCACCAGCTCGGCCAGGACAAGCGTAAAGCAGCAGCCCTTTGTGGCCCCCCGACTGTATTTGCTTATTTCACTGGGCTCTTTTCGTTATCTCTATAATCTGGGAAGAAGTCGGACTCTGCGGTGCCCGGTGACATCCTCGATCCCGTGTGGGAGCGTTCGGTACGCGAGTTCCCGGAGCTGGAATGGGCCCCGCTCTAACCCGGAGTTGGAACCTGGAGCTGCCGCCTCGGCCTGGGGCGGATCTGGGCTTTTTGAGCCCCATTTTCCAGCACGCGCTGCTCCCCTGCAGGCTGGGGCGAACCTCCCCTCGCCATCCCTAAGGAGCAGGGCTCCCCTGGAACACGGAGCCCGTCCAGTAGTTGGATAATCCAGAAAGGAGGTTGTCCCCTCCGCAGTGCCCATTTCTTCTCCTCCCCTTCGCCCGTTGCCGGCGGCTGCTGCTTCCTTTGCTAAACCCTTATCCAGGTAGCTCTGAAATGGGATCGCCTCCCCCGGCTCCGATCGCGTCTCTGGGCTGGAATCTCTCCCCGTTCAGGAGCCTGGGCTGGTTCCAGCGGGATTCCACACATTTTTGTTACACGCAGAGTCACCAGCAGGAACTTGGACTCTTTGCACCCGCTGTAGCCGCTCGCAAGGGCCTGGCTGCTGGCAGAGGACACTGACGGCCTCGTGGTTTTTAATGACTGTGGTGATTTTTTTAAGTTTTATTATTAATGTATTGAACTGAATTGCAGCGTGTATTTTGTGTTAAGTCTTAGCAGTAATCCAGTGCTGTCCCGGGGGCGATGCCGGCACTCCGCACGCCGGTGTCCCGAGGCGGAGAAACGGGATCGCGTCCGCCGTGCGCAGCGCTCCGGCTGCCCAGCCCGC